AATTTATTGATATCAAATTTTAATCTTTATGTTATTCATTAAACTATGCACAACTGAAATAATCAAGACAAAGATAATTTAGTATCTAAATGGACAATTTTCGACATATATGGAAACTAAACAGAGAAGAATCACTGGCATCATCATTTTTCCTTGTGTAAATATCATCATTTTTGATAGTGTAAATATTCCTCTTTTTCTTATCTAGCAAAAAATCGGTTTTAATTATTTAGATGTAATCCCTTTGTCAATGAACTGTTTAGTTCATCATTCGTAGTTCAATTCATTATATCTTTTTATTGAAATTATTTTTAATTATATTTTCTTGTAGTGTTGTTAAAAAAATTAATTGGCGCCTGAACATAGACACCGTGATAACTCGATAAAATAAATTACTTCATTACAAGCTCGGACTGTCATCCCAAGATGATTTACAAAAGCAGTCTCTGGACAATATAATCTAGGGCAGGCAGCTTCACGGTGTTACACCACAAATTAGAACTTAATGAAATCCAATAATTTAGTAAGATTACTTAAGACACAGAATCAATAATATAATTTTATTTGTTTCTCGATCAATCACTTTTACCATTTAGTAAGATGGTAGGCTTGTTATGTAAGAGTTGTAAGCATCAGAACTTTTAAGTTAAACTCATATCTCATATCATATTTTCAAAGAGACTCATATAAACTCATATTTTGTGTCCCATATATATATACTACTGCATCTTTTTGATTTGATTATTTTACTATGCTAATCCTATTGAGTAAGGTAAGTAATGTAATTGCAGCAAATTTTCGATGTGCAGTTTTAACAGATCTTTGCGTTTAAGAGCCATCTTAAAAATAATAATAATAATAATAAAATCACGTTTTTGACCATCGAATTGTATCACATAATAATCTCTTGAAATTTATTTTTTATTCGATAGGATTCTGAATCTTGATGTGTATCAGATCCGGCATGCTATACAAAATAGTGGCTGCCTAATATCCCTCAACATATTTATCTAAAGAGTGTTGTATTAAAATGGATGAAACTTATCTAAATATCATTCTTAAAGCCTTTTAATATTTCAAATGTTAATTAAAATTCCTCAAAACTTTATGATAAATAAAAGTAAAACCTCATTGATTAATTTCATTTTAACTTACCTATGAACTTTTATGTATGAAACTCCTCGGAAACGTCTAAAATATTTTTCAATTTTAATTATAGGAATCGGAACGCCAATTTCATGACAATTTAAAAAATTATGAATATCCATTTAATTTCCACTTTATTTATTTAACTGTAAAAAATACAATATTTTCAATCAAATACATTCTGACCAATAGCAGCTCACTTTGGTATGTCAGCCAAAATACATTACAAATAGAATTATGGCTGTGTTCCGCTTGTTCAAGACCAACTTAGATCTTCTTAAAAACAATGTCACGACCGACTTATATGTTAACAATAAACTTTACAACATATTGTAAGATATTTAGACTGATGTCCAGGGTGAGCCTGCTATTCGTCAGAACGAATCTAATTCAAAAGATTATATTTTTCACTGTGAATAAATCGAGTGGAAAGGAACTTTCATATGTTTTTATCACATAAATAAACGTCATTTTCCATTTTTTTGGCTTGAAATGCATTTTTTTATTTTACAAGCAGAGGAGTCTGAAACCTGAAGGTCCACTGAGAACTATAAATCGAAGAGTTGTGGTGGTTGCAATACTTTCCATCTCTGGTTGTTTATCCTAAACGATATATCTGTTATAGTAAGCAATCCAAAAATATAAGTTTGTGTTGAATCGAAAACATATTTTTTTATCTTCAATATTTAGATTAGACTAAATAATAATAATTTTAAAAAACAATACGTTGTGTACTTACCACATACGGTAGAAGTGGAAACATCAACAACGCTTTCATGAATATTAAATATAAATTGAATATTTAATAGTTGACCGTTGCATTAGGCGGTCATAAACAGGCTGAATATTGGCAAAACTATTTTATTAAAAGCCAACATTTCGACCCGTCTTTGGAGGTCTTCTTCAGGGCTAGAACGAACAAGATAAAAAAAGATAGATAATGGTGAAAGTTACATAATATTATGACAAAAAATTATAAACATTGTGAATGAGCTTATTAAAATTATAAACAGTGAGTACATTAAAATATAAACAGAGTAAGCTAAGTAACAAGATCCTAAACTGAAGTAAATAGATGATAACAGACCATACATTGCAGAACTAACTATAGAGAGAGGAACAATATGAATAATTATAATTATATTTGGTTATACATATGCAAGAAAATTACATTTAAATATTAGATAACATTGAGATATGGTTAAAAAGCAAAATTAATACAAAGTGAAAACGGATGATCATACATTGATGTAGAATGTAAATATAAAATTAAAATAAAATAAAATGAGAGCTCATACAAAGCGGAAATATTTAGAGTAATGAACAACTAAATTGAATTAATCAATAAAAATTGAAAGTAGATAAAAATAATAAGATGTAATATATAAGTTATTTTTTCACTTATAAGATTTAAAATGTGTCTGTATGTTAAAGAAATGCAGTTTTTATCTACTTTATGATTAACAGGATTCTGTTCCATGTGAAAATGGATGGATTCCGAAATGAGTCTTTTTTCATGGTTAAGGACTATGGCAAGAATAGAGGTTTTTTTCAAAATCAAATGAATGGTTTCATTCCTCTCTGATAGATTTTTCTCTGTTCGACAAGGCTCTGAAATCTCAACTATCAGACCAATTCTGGCCGGAGTGCCCCAGAGATCAATTCTTGCACCACTGCTTTACATAATTTACACACATGACATTCCCCTCTCCAGTGACACTTTGATAGCCACCTATGCTGATGACACTACTATTATCACAAGGCACAATGACCCCACACATGCTTCATATACTTTACAAAATCACTTGAAAATCTTACACGACTGGTACAAACTTTGGAAAATAAAACTAAATCACAACAAATCCCAACACATAACATTTTCACTCCGACACGAAAACTGCCCTCCTGTCTATCTTGACAATGAACATATTCCCCAATCTGACAAAGTACATTACCTAGGCGTAACATTTGACAGAAAGATGACATGGGACCCACACATCACTGCTAAGCGAAAGACACTAAATCAACGATTTAGACTATTATATTCCCTACTGGGACGTCGCTCAAAACTAAAGCTAAGACAAAAACTTAACACTTACACTTACTTACTAAAACCACTTGGACATACGCATCACAAATATACGGAATTGCCAAAAAAACTCACATTCAGAAATTACTAATATTTCAGGCCAAAACCTTCAGAACAATTACTCAAGCACCTTGTTATGTTAGTAACATAACTCTCCACAAAGACTTACACATGCAAACCGTCACAGAACATATACAAACTTACTACAAAAGGTTTCACAACAAGCTCTATGGTCATCCCAATAGATTCATCCAAGACATGGCCAATAAAAACATGCCCGATAACATCCGCAGAAGGCTGAAAAGGAGTTGGATGAGAGATCTCCTTAATTAGCCTCAAATATGACTGAAGATAAACCACTGGGTTTTTCTCTTCCTCATGCCTATCATGCCCTTTCTCCTAGTCTATTTGTACAGTTATCGCATTCACTGGTTGTCAGTGGACATTGACAGTTGTGAATTAAAAAATAAAGAGGAAAAAAAAATGAATGGTTGAGGGTTAAGACATGTTCTGATAGTTTGGAGGCGGAAGGGTTCCAGGAAGTTATGGATGTTTTATGTTGGGAAATGCGAGTTTTGAGATGGTTTTTGGTTTCACCAATATCGGAGCTATTACAATTAGGAGTAGAGCAAGTTATCCTGTAAACTACATTAGATCGGTGTTGTAAAAGTATGAGATCCTTCAAGTTGGTGAAAAGGAAAGAAAGTATATGAAAGGAGTGGTAGGTGATGGTGGGGAGTTGGGAGAAGGGGAGGTTGTACTCTTTTTGGTTGTAAAGCAGTTAAAAGTTACTTACTGTTTATAATTTTAATAAGCTTATTCACATTGTTTATAATTTTTTGTCATAACATTATGTTACTTTCATAATTCTCTATCTTTTTGTTTCTTGTCCGTTCTAGCCCTGAAGAAGACCTGCAAAGTCGGGTCGAAACGTTAGCTTTTAATAAAATATTTTTGCCACTATTCAGCCTATTTATGACCACCACCCCGGACCATCTCCTTCCATTAAACATAAATATATTTGTTTTTGTCCTATGTTCACAAAGTAACAATATTTACAATATGACATTGCATTATAATATTTGGCATTTTAATGACCACTGTGGAAACACTATGGAGTGCAACAGGCAGTCATCAAAAATACTCAACTTATTATTTTTATGGCTAAATAATAAAAAAAGTTATACTTACTTCTGCAAATTGGTTTCTGAATTTTCCATGGTATTTAAATTTGGAGATATTTTAGTCCAAATTTTTAAAACAGTCGTTATTATTTGTTTTGTTTTTTTGGCACTATTTTTTTCACTTCCAGGCTCTCTAAATTGGCGTAACCTTTTAAATAATAAATAGCTCACTACAAAGAGGATGAAATGCTGAAAATTTTCCTCGCTCACAGTATACCGGTCCGATTTTTAGGTTCTTAGATATATTAATCCAAATGCAACAACACTTCAATTAGTCGACTCCAACCGGATTTACCCGAATTAGCGTTACATATCCGAGCGTGACGGCTCAGTCTCATTCACTACCCACAAATAAAGTGGAAAGCACGCCTAAAGAATTTTTTACTTTAAAAAAACGTCATATTTGGATAGTCATCAATCCAAAAATATATATGTATTCTTTTAATTTTTCGATTGAAGTAAATAATAATATAATGATGAATAATGATGAAATAATAATGAGGAAGTATTATTAAAATATTCCTTACCTACTTAAATATGAGAATAAATCACCATTCTTTCTTTCTGAGAAATGAATAAACAAACGAAACGTTAATTCTATTATGTTCGACCACTCAGTAGACAACACTACTTTTTCAACTACACAAATATTGTCTGTAAATTGTGTTAGTTATGATTAAGTTTAAAATTATCTAAAATTAATAGTTTAAATTAATAGTTTCAGGTAAATATGACAAGAAAATATCACACGAAGATGGTACCTCCCGATGGTGGGTGGGGATGGATTATTGTTTTAGGATCGAGTATAATGGACGTGAGTATTATTTTGAAAATCATTTATTGTAGAAAAGTTTCTAAACTGAGAGCTAAACTCCTCGATGGCATCGGAACTCTCCCTGAACTGAGTGTAACGACGCTATCAATTAGCGGCAACGCAGAGTTTAGGAACTTATTCTATCACTATCATAAAAATACACTTGATGAGTATGAATCACAATTATTATTATTAAGTTATTATTGACACAAATGATGATAATAAGAAAGTTTAAAGCAAAAACAATATATTTGTTTAAGGAAACAAAGTAATTACTAACATTTTTATGTACGTTTCTTCACTATTTGGCTTTTGTCGATTATTCTTGATGAAAAATTTCCTTATTTTATTATTATTATTAAGATTACCTATCTAGCAATCTAGAATTTATTAATAAGATTACCTATTAAGATAACCATCCCTAAAATCCTTCTCGGAGGTTAAAACGGTAATGGCCCTGTGTTCTTTTGTAATATGTAAATACTAGTTATCGACCGATACCGATATTAATATCAGCAGATAAAGAACGCCGATTTTCTGATATATCGGCTTTTTAAGGATTGCTACATATGCAGATATCCTAAAGACCGAAATATTGACAATTTTCTGGTCATCCTTTTAAACAGATATATCGGCCTCTTCTACATTGAATATTATTTTTATCGCTCATGAATGGCTCAATCATTCTTCAAGGGATCACCATATAGTCCGTGGTAACTTCTTTATGAACTTGATTTGTTAAGATTGGTAGAGTTTGACTGATTATCATTTATTTTTATGCCTCCTCTCCTCAGATTTTCAGCAAATATCCTAAATACTGCAATATTGGGCCTTATGACCATATTTTAATGAAATAAGATTGGTAGTTGCTACGAACCATGGTCTCCATGGTGCAGCGGCAGGCCTCCCGTATTTTAAATGAAACTCTGAATCTCGATAAAACATGGTTGTGAGGCCGATGTATTGGTCATTGGAATATGTTATCTAACCAAATTAGAGAAAGGAAAGGGCCTGAAAAAAAAAATTAAAACTAGCAATCACAATAAAATACGATCCTGAGGCAGATATATCGGTCTTTCCTCAAATGTATGTTTATCTTGATACATTGATGAATGATTGACACATTTGTTAGCAATGAAAATGATTCAAAGTGAAAGAAGCCAATAACGGTTTAACGAGGTGACAATAATATTGGAAAGATGTTAAAAAATAAAAATCAATCAAATTCTACTAATCTCGGTAAAATAAGGTAATATATCAGTCTTTACTCAAATGTATGTTTATCTTGATACCTTTATGAATGATTGACACATTCATTTGCAGTAAAAATATTATTTCAAATAATCTTAACTTTATGAATCTCGACAAATTAAAGTCGTAAGACCGATATATCAGCCAAATAGGAATTAAAAAAAATTGTGAGGACAAGAGCATAAAAAAAAGTGGTTAAACTCTACCAATTGTAATAAATAAGATTGTATGGCTGATATATCGGTGTTTGAAATAACGGTATTTGCTTTAATTAGGGGAAGGAGACGACAAAAAAATTAATAAAAAAAATGATAATTGTCTACAGTTCTCGATAAAATATAGGTCCTAGGTGAAAACAATAAATAAAAAAAAATTGAAAGAAGAGGAACACAAAAAAAGTCCAGCGCAACCAATCCTGATGGTCGTGAGGCCGATACATCGGGGTTTGAAATATTGCTATCTGATCGAATTAGGAAAGAACGGTAAGCAAAAAGAGAAATATAAAAAAAATCAATATAAAAAATTAATATAAAAAAAAATTAAGTCTACTGATCTTAATAAAAGAAAGTCGTAAGGCCATATATCGGCCTTTGCACAATTTTATGTTTATGTCGATCTTTTGATTGATTGATGCATTTATGAGTACTGCAAATAACATTACTAAAAGTTTGAATCTCCATAAAATATGGTCTTGTGACCAATATATTGGTATTTGGAATATCGCTATCTTCTCAAAAAAAAAAAAAAAAAAAAATCTAAAACTCTACCTATCTCGATAAAACCAAGTCATATCGGTCTTTAGAATATCAGCATCTGCTCAAATTTATGTTTATGTCGATTCCTTGGCGAGTAATTGGCACATTTATTATCATCAGGGAGGAACAGGCGGGAATTCCCTTGTCTGATTGTACACAGTGTATATATTATTTTCTATACTTATCTTTGAGTTTATTTTATTTTTATTTATTGTTTATAGGTTTTATTAATAATTATTCGTAAATATGAAATGGATATTTTCCCACTTTAAAAATTGCCCATATTGGGACGGAATTTCATATTATTCAATAAAAAAATAAGAATAAACATTGATGTATTTAGGAATTTTTACCCCACCTTTTCTTCAGATTACAACATATGCTATCGAACCGTCATTTGGATTGCTTTTCGGAGATCTCCTCAAACAGCTTGGTGTCGAAACAACGGGTGCATCTTTGGTGATGTCTACAATGGATGGAATTTTCAACTTTTCAGGTATTCTTGACAACACCTTTAATGCAATTATAATTATCTTTATGCATTTATCAAGATGATCATAAAAGTAGTTTGTTGTCATATTAAAATAAAAAGAATCAACTGATCAATAAAAATTCTTGTTTTACCATAAGATCCTATATCTCTTAACTGTTACTTATTTCTGTATTTTGCTATCTTGGAATAGATAAACCAAATCATTGCAAGTTTTTACTTCCTTTTTTTTTTGCGATTTATTAGTTGTATAACTAATTTGCGATGCATTAGTAACTAATTACTGTAATTATGCACAAAACATGAATAAATTTAATGTTTTATTTACAATATATTAATATTGATTACAATAGATTAATATAAATCTAAACGCGATGAAAACTCAGACCATTATTATAGGTTCCAGTTCTATTCTTAAATCCATCTCCTTCCTTCCTCCTTTAGTCATCAACGATCATCCTGTCACATTCAGTTCCTCCGTTAAAAACCTAGGAATCACCAGACGAAAACCTCTCCTGGAAACCCCATATCGCTCTCATCTCCCGTAAGTCAAGAGGTACCCTTAAGCTATTTCATCGCTCCCGTTACCTACTCCCACAACCAATCCGCAAGCACCTTGTATCCTCTCTCATTTTCCAACTTTGAATACGGCTGTGTGGTGTACGGTGGCATCCCGATGGTACTCGAGGATAGATTGAAGCGACTCATGAATACGTGCTTAAGATTTATCTTCGGTACATCGAGACGGTCTCATGTGTCCCACCTTTACGAGTTAAAGTGGCTCTTTCCTTCTTTCCGCAGTCAATATTTCCTTGGATCTTTCCTATTCCAAACAATCAACACCAGACACCCTTCCTACATCTACAGTCTCCTACAGTTCAAACCCGTGGTCCACTCCCAGAAAACAAAATCCCGTGTTTCCGACCTTTATATCCCTACCCATAGAACTAAGACGTTTGAATATTCCTTTATTGCCCGATACACAGCCTTCTGGAATTCCTTGCCATCTGAAATCCGCCATGCCTCTTCCTTGTCCTTATTTAAATATAATCTCTACCAATTCCTTCTCACATCCCAAAATGACATTATACAATAAAATAAATATTGCGAAACAGATTTTGAGTGAGGTGAATGGTTGTTTAAATTGATTGAGTTTTAATTTTAAAAATCAACCCATGCTTATTTTATTTTGTTTTCTTTTCATTTAAATTATGTTTTTTTTATTTCGTTTTTTTCTCAAAATGGTGTTATTTTTACTTGTTTTAATATAAATTCACTGAAGATACTGTATATATTCATTAATATTGACTAAGGTAATTTTTGGCCAGATGTAGTTTTTATTTATTTTTGTTTATATTTGTTATACGGGACCTTGTCCCAGAATAAAATTTACTTTCTATCTATCTATCTAAAACAATTCCCTTATAACTATTATTTTTAATTATCTTATACTAAATTCTTTCCTAATGGCCTACCTTAACATGACTGTAACGGCTTCAACCATAGATTTTATTCTCAAAGACCTAGAAATATATTCATTATGTATCCATAAAAATATGTAATAATTTAACCAAAAGTAGTGATGAAATTATACTAATTGACCCTACTTTTTTATTATAAAGTGCTCCGTTTCCGTCATATTTGTGTACAATATATTTTGCGTAGTTTGAGTAAATTTTAGTCAAATTAAATTTTGCCAACGGAGTTAATTTTTCGCTGTTTTAAAATGTTTTAGAACTTTTAAAGACCCATCAAAATGAGTTAGAAAATTGGAAATTTGTTAATGAATTGAGTTGGTGTTGGGCCAGTGCATTATAAAAGGTATCAATTTCCCCCCTCCTTTTTTTTGTGTGTTTTTTTTAAAATGTTTAAGCACCTTCATACTTTTTCAATTTGAAAGTTGAAAATTTGTTTATTAATATGGAATTAAAAAAGTGCCTTCTTGGAGTTTCAACTTTACCTTCCCCTTTCCCACCATTTTGATAAATTAAATCTCGGAACGAATAATAAAATAATCGAACACAAATAAATAAATTCAGCATTTCAATTGATTTTAAAATTTCATTCAATTTGTTTCACTAAAGAATTAATAAATTTTCTTGGATTTTTTTGCAAATGGGATCAAAATTATAATTAATAAGAATTAATTACGATATCTTTAAGCAACATTTCAAAGTTTCACTGACCATAATTATTCAATTAACAGAAAATAATCGAGGACTAGACCTCCTTAATATCTAACAATATTTCGTTTGTAAAAATAAAGCTAATGTTGAAATTATGTGGGTAAAACTATAAATTTAGAAAACTTGAAAACTTAAAAAAAAAAAATTAAAACTTTATAAAACTATAAATAACGTGTAATTGATGCATCGATTTCGTCTGAGAATTTATAATTACATGATAATAAAAGTGATTTCATTTTCATTTCAGGGCTTTTCGTCGGACCTCTAACAAAGAAGTATTCCTACAGGAAAGTAGCTATTTTAGGAGCTGTGTTAAGTACTGCTGCCTTTCTATTGACCGCCCCAGCAAACAGTTTGCTGCACATCCTCATTACGTACGGAGTACTTGGAGGTATTGATAATCAAAATCTTTGCTAATGTTTTTGACTACGCAATTTAAAGGCATTATGCATTTTTCTGATAGATCACGCTGGGTCCACGAACATACTAAGGATCCAGTCTAGTGTCGCCAAAGTGCAGATAAGCATTATTTATATGTATTCCCCTTATGTACAAATGAACTCTTGTTGTTGCGCTGTTACTTGTTTTTCTTGTTGACTAAGTTGATGTTGGGCCTAATAATGTATAATGGATACATGAGTTTATCGGTTTTTCTCAAGATAGTACAGCCTCCCTGTACCAATTCCTCGTCCTTCTGGACAAAAGTATGTTTTTTCTTCTGAAATGGATTCATCTAGATTTATTTATTCTCGCTACAGGTCATCTGATGATCTTCGCTCAAGCCCGTGATTGTCAACATGTGCTTCCGACGCATCATCTTCATTTTCATCAGCTACGTCATTGTACAGACGATGGATTAGTAATAATGATAATGAAAGGTTCAGAACCCAAAGTTCAATGCTGATATCACCAATTCCTGTCTACACAGCACCAACCTCCGAATAGCGGCCTAACCTAACTCCACAAGATTAGACTTAACACAATCCTCTTGACTGGTGAGGAATTACAGAAAGGATTAATTCTCTCTTTGATTTCGCTTCTTGGGGCAATTCTAAGATTACTGGTTAAATTGTGATCATCATACTTGTGGATGATGATTTCAATACTAAAAGTATCTTTCAAAAAAATATATTACTTTTCTGTATAAAATTAACATTATTAATAAACTTAATTAATTGCATATTTACTTCCTGGCTATGCAGATCTTTGTGACCCCTTGTTCTTCCGGACTTAATTCTTCCATCTGTCACCATCCACGTTGGCGGCGTTCTTCCAATTCATGACACCCTTCTGTACAGCATCTCCTCCTACCAGCGGCTCCCCGGTCTGCCTCTTTTTTTCAGAGATTGCCATGTCCAGCATCTTCTCCTGCAACATCTCTTCTTTCATCCTAGCGATATAGTGGGCCCATCGCACCATACCTGTTTTTAAATAATTAACTATATCATGATTTTTCAGTATGGCTGCTATTTCTGTATTACTCTTGATAATATTGATTATATCATACTAATATTAAAAACTTTATTCATATTATTAAATAAATAATATTAAATCCAATAAATTTGATTAAGAATATCTTTGCATCAACTGAAATTTAAAAATAAACAGTTACATTTAAGATGAATTTAAATAGGAAAGTACTACAATACAGAACAATAATACTCATACCACCGATCGAGAAGGTAAATGATCATATTCTAGGGGATATATTTAATAAGGAACAAGTAATGAAATTGTTATATATTATCAATATTTAATTTTAAAAAATGAAACACCTTTCGTGGTCTGCCCATGATAACATCAAATTATCAACTGCTTCTAAATTCTGTTGACTGCCTTCTAAAATTATCCAGTCGTGGATTGGATCCAAATCAATGATGTCTTCTGCTTCCTGACTGAATTTGCCCTGACCCCTCCGAAGAAGAGGTTAGTAAAGTGAGCAGTGAATTTTCGGAAAATTCTCTTTGGTGCCACTGATCAAAATTTCACTTTTTAACTTAGGATCGATTTTCAGGACAATACTGTGCGTTGTCCTGTATGTATATCGTGCTCAGATACGATATAATCATAATAGCTATTAACGAACCACTGATCTTAAATCTGGATGGAAGCTCCTTGTCTGTAGTAAACTACAAATCCTGTACTTGTCATATTGTTTATTATATAAAAAAATAATAATATTGTTTCTCATGATAATCCTTTTACAGTGATGCACTATCATCAATATAATTTGTATTGATGTATTTTTATGATTACAAATATAGGCAGACGCTCCTTTAGAGCTTGGTGTCGTGATGCCCGGTTGCCCGGAATTGGTAATAGTAACAAAAATTATGCTTTCGAACTGTTCTAGGTATTGGATTCGGCCTTGCTAATTCATCCACCCTGGTAGGTATCAATAAATACTTCTCCAAAAAGAAAGGACAGGCAGTTGGTATTGCGATGGCTGGCACTGCTGTTGGGTTTATGTTGATGCCTCAGATAGTCAGGTAAAAAAATATAATGTAATGGAGCTACGATTAAAATGCAAAACAATTGGACAACTAGACTCTTGCTATTTGGAACTAATCAAAATCTAAAGTTACGATAAGCTGTGAATTCCGATTACAGTTCCGAAAAACATTGAAATAGCATATCGACTTAGAAACAAAAACTATGTATTAATCAATATTTTTAACAAAATAATTGTTCAGAAACACATTTTTAAATTATTTTCTTAAGGCCTCTGACCACATGCGCTTATTTTTTTTTTGGTTATATCAATACTAAAAGAACGTAGAGTGTCTATAATAATATTTAAAGTTCTATTGAATTTTAACTTGTATCAACGAAGTTCGCGAGGGTCCAATATATTTTTAAATAAAAAAGTACTATTGAAAATATTAAGCACCTTCGAGTTTGTTTAGTCTTATATGTTTAGGTTCTTGCTGGATGAATATGGTTTTCGTTCAGCACTTCTCATACTAGGGGCAATATCTCTTCATGCTGTGGTAGGAGCTTCTTTATTTCAACCTGTTTCTTGGCACAAGAAAGCTGTTATTGTAGTAAGTTTTTTTCTACCATCAGTTTTATAAATTAATTTTACAATTGTATGTTAAAATATCTTTTCTACATTTAAAATGAGATATAATTTTAATAAACTTAGCAGGTATCCTATAAACTGAAATTTTTTCTTTATTTTGTGAAATCCCTTTCGTTTATTTTTTACGAGGCACAATTTATTTTTTGTATTATATGGAATTCAATTTCAAATAATGATGATTTAATTTCATCTTACATGGAACATTATACTCAGAACTGAAAAGGCCATTTATTCTCATTTTTGTTTTCTGAAATCGGCTTTTCAGTTAAAAATGCAGATTCTCGTCGAGCAGTTCAGTTTATTATATAATCTCAGATCTAGAAAGTCTGTAGTTAAATGTAATCCATTCATCTTCCATATATTTCTGACGTTTCTACTTCCGATAGCGATATCTTTAAGAGTTTTAATTACTTTCGTTCTCATATCCTTCTCGACGTCGCCAAATACTTAATGTAGGAAGAGGAAATTATGACCGATCATCGGATTATGAACGTCAACCTAATTTTCAGTAATGTTGAGTATTTCATTCTTAAACTTACAACTATGCATGGTGATTAAAATACTGTTCTTGTTTTCACTCAAACTAACATCACTAATTAGGCGAACCACAGTTTAAGGAGAAGATGTTTTGATAGAATATATAAGCAGGTCATCTTCAATAATATTTATTCTTATATTTTAACCTAAGTAATCAATTCTTGTCGTTACTTCAACGAATGGATCCTGATAATGTAATATATTGTGCCGAGAGTCTCAGGGTATTCAGTTTGAAACAGTGTAGGTTCGGCTTCGATCTGGATTGGTTAGTATTTATCTTTTGGTGGTGCTTAAAATGAATTCAGAAACGTCCACTTTGCGTAGTAAAGACAACCTAGAGGTGGCTAGCTAAAAAGAACCATACGCTCTTCTTGGTTGAAAAGTTTTCTCCACCAATACTAGTACCAGTAACACTGTGTCACAATATGGATGAAAACTGGTGAAAGATAGGAAGAACTGTCTTCTAAGTCATTTTCTGAAGGATGCACAATGCTCCTCTTCCGTTTGTAAGGTTTTTACGATAAAGAAAAAAAAATACTACTAAGTAATGGAAAAGAAGGATTAAGGGTGTAAAAATAATGTATAATATACTTGCTTATGACATAAAATATTTATTATTTCAAATTAAATATAGATCATTTAAATCATGATTTTCAACTCTGTAATTAGTTCAGCTTTAGAAACAATATTTTTTTTCCTAGGAAGTAGAAGAAGAAGACGTTCACAGTCTCTTACCATCTGATAAAAAGGATAGTTCAGCCACCACAGACACCAAAAGTAAGGCTTGTTAAACTATCTAAGGTTTATCTTATTATGTTCTAGGACTTTATCCTTTCGTTTTTATCAGGTATACCAACAATATAGTAAATCGCTCAGTATCTGGATATAGGATTGAGATCTTTTACGGAACAAGGCCTACCAACTCAGTTACTCCCAATATGTTTTTAGTTTTTTTCTTATGCCTCTTGACTTTCGGCTTCCGCCATAATTTAGCAAGGTGTTTTTAAATGGGTTTACACCGGTGGCTAAGCTACCGTGTGGTACAGTCAATGAATGCCCAAAAAGGGACTACAGAGAGAAATAGAAGGAGCACATAAAAAAATTAATTCTTTTTTTACTTCGGATCTTGGTCGGGCAAGTTGAGAAGTAAACATACAAAAATTCGTAACTCGTCGCAGGTAAGTCGGATGTAGAGGGGCACCAATAAGGTCACTTTTTCGGTTTGACGCGTATATCAAGGAAGCTATGCGTATTAGTAGCATCAGTAATTAATGGGAGGGGCTGGCGTAGCCTTACGGGCTGCAATTGGTAATCAAAGTTAAGCAAAGTCGAGCGTGGTTAGTACTTGGACGGGTGACCGCCCGATTTGGGTGACCGTCCACCAGGGAAAGCCATGCTGCCCGAGTCTCCCCTTCCCCCTGGGTATAGGAGGCCCGTCAGTCTACTAGAGGCAACTCACACCGACCGGGCGTAGGACTGATGACCCTACCCCGTGTACTTAAATCGGGAATCGGGATGTGGTTTACCAGGATGTTAATAGCCCCCCTGAGGTTCGGTCCATGGACGGTCTGTTTCAGGGAAAGAAATATAGGCCCTTGTGTGCCTGCTGACTTCGAGCAGCCATAATCCATGGATCTAGACCGATTGGTCCCTGTCCTTGAACCCGATAAAGTCGATGGGAAGGACATTGCCAGATTGGCACCAAAGGGATCGGCTATGGAGCTACGGATGGCCTGCCGCTGCACCATGGATACCCCATGGTTCGTAGCAACGTGAGGTTGGGTGACCCCCTCCAGGCTATTTGAGCTCCCACAAGTATCACATGAGACCACATCTCGCGGCCAAAGATCTTCATGGTCTGTAGTGCCAATCGGAAAAGATATATATATATTTTACAAAATATATTTGTATATTCATTATTCTATAATTTATAATTGTATATATATATATATATATATATATATATATATATATATATATATATATATATATATAATAATAAATTATAGAATTATGAATATACAAATATATTTTGTAAATACGTGCATAGTTTATTGCATCAATAACCTTAGCTAGGTATCTAATACATATATTACTAATGCTACTAATTGAATAAATAACTAAGTCCATTTTGTCAAGAAGTAAAGGGATTTGTACTATGATGATTATAACTATGTGAAATAAGGATTGGCATTTCAAATATTACTTTAACTAATTTTGATTATATATAGTTGTATCATTATTTTTTTATTTATTAATTTAATCAAAACATTAGTGATAAAGCACTGGTTATTATTTTTATATTACTCAATTGTTGTATTTGAAATTATATTTATTATATAACATGAAATTAAAAAAAAAAATTCATTCTGGTCTGTTTCAAAGGAAACTCTAATAATAATAGTTATTTTTAATAAATAAAAGAGCCATTTTTTTTTATCTTTATTGATATTGCGGATATTTTTATATAGTAGTTTAGGTATATATTTTTTGAAAAACTGGAATCAGAATAGTTGAACGATCAATTTCAAGTCTAACTATATGATTTGAAATCAACCATGGCCAGTAATATAAGTGTTTGACGAATTTTACATGAGCTTTCCCAATAGTTTCTAAGTATCTTAGACCCTAGATTTCTGCTGTATAATGAAGAGATGAAGATACCATTGAGTCGAGACACTAGCGGATCCAAGATTTAATTTTTTTGGGGGGGGACTTCAGCCCGGAAGCTTTTTTTTTCATATATATAACAAAAATTACTTTGAAAAAACAGAAAGATACTAACTACCTATATGAAATGGTGTTTAAGCTATTCTTGAAGTCCTATTAAATGTAATTAAACGAGCAATAATACTTTAAGACATAATTTTTTAATATATATATTACCATAAAACATGGTTACATTTTACCGTTTTGGGGAGGGGGCTTCAGCCCAAAAGCCTTCCTTCCGCCCTCTGTAGATCCGCCTGTGAGTCGAGACATTTTCGTTTGCCATGCATCATTCTTCCCTTTTATTAAAATCTCTCCTCCCTTTGCTCCTGCGACTTTCAATCTCTGAGTGAAGTGCTCAAAGGAGCTGCCTTGGATAATTTTCCTCTTGTTGAAAATGGCCTAGCAAGGTAATGATAGCATTTCGTTTAGAAGTTTTTTTTGCCAATATAGTTGTCTCAATTTTATCATTTGCTATGACTTATGACATGACAGCACTTTTGATTTTTCAGGATTTAAAATTAGTCAAACAAGATAGCTTTCCATTATCTGATATTTTTTTCTGGGTGCCGTACCACGAATTGCTTAACATAATAAAGTCATTTGCATTATAACTTCATTGCAGTAGCATTATAACTTCATGCCCACTATCTATTAGTATGCCTGATGCACTGTAGGATTCAAAATAACATGTTATATCTGAAAGAAATATGATGAAAATAATTAAAAAGATGCTGAAAAAAGTAATGATTGATTCAGAATTTTATTTGGGAATAACTCACAAAGTACTGAACTGTTTTGTATTGTGAGTACACATGAAATGTATGAACGAATGTAAAGAAGTAGAAAAAAATGTTAAAAACAAATTCCTTTATGCTTTCCTCAAATTTTCAATAATGTCTATGGTAAAATTTCGACCAATGGGCGAATAATAATATCAATAAAGAGCTGAAATATTATTTATAATAATGCAATGAAATAAACGCTTCGTGAAAATGTTTTATTAATAAATTAAATATGGCATTTTGATTCTACAATATTATTTAGTTAATGTCGTAAATATTAATTATTTTAATTTTAATGTAATGAAGAAAAAATAGCTCTTAATAATTATTTTTTATATATTATATACTGTTTAATAAATGTTTGTGGAAAGTGTTAGATTGAATAATATGGAGTCTGTAAATTAAGATACTAATGTTTTTAACATTTATTAGTGTGATTGTTATTACACTTTAATGTAGCATTGAAAAAGAACATTTTAAATGAGGTTGAACAGCGTTTAGACTTTTTTTTTCTTCCTCAATGCTCCCTACTATGTTATAAATAAAACCATCCATAATGACCTTAATGTTTCAGATCTGGCCCAATCCAGATACCTATCCTTCCATAATAAACTTCAGAATGATCTCAACCCTCTAGTTTCTAACCTTGCTTCCTCTTCTATTCCTGATAACCCTCCAAAATGTCTGAAAAGAAGATGGCCTCCTGATCTCCTGATGTAGACATATCATTAGAGTGCTACCATTGGATAGTTACTCAACAAGTGTTTTCATGTCATTATATCCATATGTTCAAATTTACTAGATGTATTTATTTAATACAGTTGTCAATATCATTAAGAAATAATAAAAAAAATGTTTTTCTTGTTGGCCACGAGGCTTCCATTGAAGTACTATAATGCCAATATTTAGAATTTTCCTTTGTTTGTTAATGATTTAATGATTACTATTATTTGTACTTACAACTTTTCAGATCGAGTGGGAAGTAATGAGAGCAGTCCAAATTCACAGGAGAGAAAGATTTTGTTGAATATTCCACCGCAAGCTTTTTCAAGAAAGGAATCTGTACCTCAGTACTTAGATGAAGGAGAAAATATATTTAACATCCATGTTTGTGTTTATTTAACCAGAATAGATTCATAATAAATAATATTACCAGTGTTTTAAGTATTTTCAACTTTCAAATTTATTGTTAAATTTTATCTTTTTTAATATAAATACTAGGTAAAGACTAAAATAACCCATAAGATGTTTAAGAGCCCCCATGTTAAAAATAAATAAATAATAAATATAGTGCCAGTAATTACTCTAGTTTACTTTTAATTTCTAGTTTCAATACTGACTTAAGATTTATGTTACCAGGAAATTACTGATGAAAAATGTGATAAAGGATCAGAACAAATAACCGATAATTCAAATAGGGAAGACAAACACAAGAAAACAACCAAAAAAACAGATCCAAAAAAACAATGAAATCATTAAAAAGTGGGTTTTTAAGTTTTTTCAAATTCATGGATCTTGATCTTCTAAGAGATGGTGTAAGTTTTCAATAATTAATTCATTTTTTTTTTGTCAAAATTTGTATTTAAAAATATATTTTTATTAAGTTATTAATTGTACTTAAATTATATTTTGTTTTTTTAAAAGGTATATTTGAATACTCTGTATGGCCTATCAATGCTAGTTGTGGTTGAAATGAATTTCAGACTAATTTTACCTTTCTTTTTATCTGATCTTGGCTTGACACATTATGAAACTGCATCTGTATTGTCATCAATGGCTATATCAGACATAAGTTCTCGCTTAATTGTACCTCCAATTATGGATAGGGTGGCAGTCTCAAACCGGGTCACTTTTTTGTTTGGCTCTATTTGTGTGGCCTTAAGCCGGTCTTGTAAGTATTTTGTTGTAATCAATTCAATTAATTCATAATTAATTTAATTTGAAATTCATAACTAAAGCATAAAAATAATTATAAAATACATACTGAAAGTAGAATGAGAAAATCACAAGCCTTGTTATTAGAAATGGAAAAAAAAAACTATGTAAATTTTATCTATATGTACTCACGTAAATATATTTTTACTATTATGATACTGATATAGTGGGGAGAAATAGTCGGGAAAGTGGGCTTATTGGTTCATTTTGGTCAACTTAGAAGGTTGTGTTTATGTTTTCCCTACCCTAGTCAGGATGTGAGTATCAAATCATTCATTTATGGGACAACCATAAAGCTAGATTCAGTCATTAATATGAGTTAATGTTATGCTGTAGATTTATAATTCAAAATATATTACCTAAAACACTGTTCTAAGGCTGCTGACTATAAATGAATTAATGTCTTTTGTATATTGTATAAGATTTTGACTCAAATGTGAACGGTTTGTAGTTATATTTATAAATTGTTCAGAGGAGGACTATATTACCTCTATGATTATTTTTTCAAAAATAACTCATAACTTTCTCATGACTGTATTTGTAAGTACCTACCAGATTTGAGATATAGTATTGAAATAAAAAAATTAAAAAAGTATTTAAATAAATAAAGCTATTATAATAATATAGATCTTAATGGAATATCAACTGTTATGCTATATTTTCATGAACTTCCAACCTTTATTGCTAACAAAAAATCAGAGATAAACAGTTGCAGTGCACTGTGAATTATGCAAACAAAGTAAAGTAAATTTTTGAGAATTCAGATAATAATTGTTTTAAACAATAACCAAGTCATTATTGATTATTGATTATTGATTCAGTACATATAGGTATGTGATGATAAAAGGACATTGTAATAAAATATTTCTTGTTAAAATGAATCTTAATGAAATGTGAATATGAAATAAGGAATAGAGAAAATGAAAACTAGTAGATCTAAGATGATCTTGAAAACATAAATGAATTAAAATGAATGATGTAAAAATCAATAAATTAAGTTGAATAGGATGAGAGATAATTGATAAAATAACCATATATTTAAGGTTTAATTAATTTGATTTAAATTAAATTAATTAGTTCCAGAAAAAAATTATTGTTTTATATCATCACATAGAAACATAGAAAAAATTCTACTGCTTTGTCAATTTTTCATTGTAATTGCCTTGTTTATTATCGATGCTATAAACATTTTTTTTTTTCAAGGTTTAACTCTACAGAGAACGATTGGAGGAATCATAACTACATCAATGATTATTGGTTTCTTCCGTGGAATATCTATTACATCATTTCCACTTGTTTTGGCAGAATATTCATCTGGCAATAATTTTCCTTCTGTTCTTGGTTTGTCAATGGTGGGTAGAGGAATTTTCATTACAGTCTTTGGACCTCTGTGTGGTGAGTACCTAAAATTGTTGCTATATCTTTTGGTTATTTTTCTTTCTCTTTATGGTATAGTTTACAACTATTAGGTTTTAAAGACTTAATTGTTATCATTGTTATTTTTTAACATATTTATTTTTACTTTATTTAATTTTTTTAACATAATTTGAAAATTTTCAATTAAATTTCCAAATTAATATAAACCGGGATGAAGTTTGCAAACTTTTAACCTTTCCCTTAAAAAAATAGATTGGACAGGTTTTACCAAAAGGATGATAGTAGAATATTAGGTGATATGAAAACGTAAAGTACTTTTTTATTCAATTTATGTACTGTTAAAAAATTACATTTATAAAGAACTCTGACATAACAGAACACTATATGAATTGTCTATATGTTGATCATTAAAAGTAGTTAATGTAATAAGTCAAGTCATATGAATAAATTTTAATGTTCCGTTAACTTTTCACTTATTGACTTTAGCTATTGATTATACAAGTGATGTAAACACAGAGCTTAAGTTTATGTCCATAAATAATCATTATGCACATCTTTTTAACACCATTCCACCATGTACATTATTTTTTACTTTCACTTGAATGAAATATTGAATCTGACTTTTTGAAGTTAAGACGCATTATGAGGTTCTCTGAAGTCCAAATAACCAAGTCCAGCAAAATGGTCTGTGTGTGTGTAAGTTATCAGTCTATTTCAAAAATTATATGTCGTATGGAAGTTAAATTGCTTATTTAAGGTTTGTTGTATATGCCTTGGATGTTACACCAACTTTTTTTGTCAAAATCGGCTTTCAGAATTGATTTCACACATGTTTACGAGAACAGCTCTAATGATTTTGAATAAACATGGTGTATCATTGTATAATTAATTGGTCTTTAATAAAATGTAGGTGTTATCTCCATTGATGTCACTTTCCAGGGCTTACATGCTTAAATACCCAATGTTCAACATTTATTCTTTTAAAGTACCTTTAATTAGATTCATTTTAAATAATTAACTACTTCTCATTGTTATGAGTTACCAGAAAAAAGGTAAATATAATTTTTGAAATAATTTGATAATTGAAAAATAAAGAAAAGAGAAAAACTCCTGCCCTCCTTATGTGGGGACCCCGAGCTCAGGGGACCAGGCGGGGCCACAGGTGGACTTGCACTCCCGGACCATGAGCAGCAGGCGATAACAGGGCGGGGGAGGATAGTCAGTGGTGCGGCCATCCTCAAAAATACTCCAGAGAGCCCTAAGACGGCGACTGTAACGAGGCGAGTGTGTGCCGCATCTAAATATGCACAACCACTCCCCCATCACAGCGGGGACACCTAGGAGAGGGACAACTCCGAATAAAAACCCGGACGGATAAGGCACGTTAGCTGTGGCAGGCAACTTATCTAAGGGAAAGAGACCCCGACAGAAAACCTCTGGTCCTCCAGATTGGGAGTTGTCATTTGGGTCAGCAGCTCATTGACGTAAAACTCTTCTCGCTACAAGTAGCCAGAAAAGAGCCTCGGATTTGGATAGTCATAACGGAAGCAGACTTTGGAAACGGAAACGGACATTTCATTATGGTACTTGGAATATTCAGAGCTTCGCCAACAAAAAATCTCAGTGAGGAAAGAAGTGGAGAGAGCAGGATTGGATCTGGTCGTACTCACAGAGACCAAATTGAAAGGAAAGGGACAAGTGATATCAGGTGAATATGTGCATATCTGGAGTGGTGTAGGAAGAGATGTGCGAGCCAAGGCAGGTGTTTCGGTTCTGATAAAGAAACACCTCAAAGGAAAGATCACATATTGTGTGGAAATATCGGAAAGGATTATCAGTATAGATATAGATATTTTTGGCAGAAAGGTCGCAGTCATAGGCATCTACGGTCCTGGCAATAGTGAACCTCCGCAAGTGAAGGATGAATTCGAGGAGGATTTTAGACTCGTGCTGGAGCGAAGAAGTCACCATTCTTGGGGATTTCAATGCACGAGTGGGTCGCCAAGTAGGAAGCAGAGTTGTCGGAAGGAATGGAGAGGCTCATATCACAGACAACGCAAAGAGGCTCATCGATGTTTGCGAAGCGTTCGATTTGCAGATTCAGAACACATTCTTTCAGCACAAGCCTATACACCAATTCACATGGAGTAAGCCTGGATTCCAATCGTCTATACTGGATTATTGCTTCACCAGACAAAAATCAAGTTGTAAAATGGAAGATGTGAGGGTGTTCAGGGGTTGGGAATGTGGAACTGATCACTTTATGCTCCGGACCAAGATTGTTTTCCCGTGAAAAGGTGGACGGGGTTTAAAAGAGGGACGCTGCAAAACAGAGCGTATCACCTTACCAAAGTATAAACTATATCTCCTTACGGAGGACAGTGTTGGGGGGATATACAGAAGCAGACTAGAGGAAAAAATAGATCTGGGCCAGGAAAGCAATCTTTCGGAAAAATATGAACACTTAAGGGAGTGGATCCATGCAGCAGCCTCGGAGGCGTTAGGGTATGATGAAAAGAAAAAAAACAATATCAGACAATACAACAAGTTGGTGGTCTGAGGAGGTCTCGGATTTGGTGGAGGTCAAAAAATAGGCATATAAGAAGTACCTAGCGTCAAACAGGGACCAGGATTGGATTGCCTACAGAGCTCTGAACAAACGTATAAAGGAGGAAGTTGTAAAGGAGAAGAATAACTCCTGGGAGAGATGCTGCCAGAAAGTAGATGGGACACTGGGTTTCAATCGAGTGCGAGAAGCTTGGAATAAGCTATACATGGAAAAAGCATTATGAGACCCTACTTAAAGAAAGTAGAGCGAAGTTTATGGCCCAAGAGAGCAACGCACAGGAAGACTGCAAGCCGGACCATATACAAGTATCGGAAGAAGAAGTGAGTACTGCTATAGGCAGAGCTAAAAGCGGAACAGCTTCAGGACTTGGGGGCTTGTATATGGAACTTGTAAAGGCCGGTGGAGATAAGATGCTTACACTCCTTACCAATGTGACGAACATGGTCCTGAAAGAGTATGATCTACCTGATGATCTCCAAACAGGATACCTCTGCTGCATCTTTAAAAAAGGAGATAAGAAGCAATGCCAGAATTATCGCGGCATCTGTGTACAGAGCTCAGTAAGTAGGATTGTCGGGAGACTTGTCCGGGATAAACTGGAAGGAGAGTACACCACACCGGTGGTACAAACTGGTTTCATTGCCGGGAGATCCTGTATGGACAATATTTTTGTACTCCGGCAACTCATTGAGAAATGCAGGGCGAAGAATAGGGAGCTTCATTTAGCCTTCATTGATCTGGAGCAGACATATGACAGTGTCCCTAGGGAAAGAATATGGCCAGCACTGAGAAGAGCGGGTATTAATGAATCCACGGTACAAGCAATTCAACACTTGTACAGAGTGAAGATTGGGAACCGCCTCACGGAACCATTTTCTGGAACCAAAGGGCTGAAGTAGGGGTGTTGTATGTCTCCAAGCATTTTCAAGGCATACTTGGATGAGGTAGTGAAGCAATGGATGAGACGAAGTCGAGACTACGGAGTTTACTTTGACGACGACGAGCTCCTTACCATGTTCTTCGCAGACGATCAAGTAGTGATGGCCCGGAAGAAAGTTTTCCTGGAGATGGTGGTTGTCCAATTAAAGAAAGCTTATGAAGAGGCAGGTCTCAGGATTAACTTCCAAAAGACTGAGTATATGGCACTGGGAGATGAGGAAGACGACATATGTGAACAGGTATGTAGAAAAGTAACGGCATTTAAATACCTCGGGTCCTATCTGGACGATGTTGGAACGTCCGAAATGGATGTCCAAAGCAAGGTAGAGATGGCAAGAAAAGCTACTAGAATGCTGCATCCAGTTCTCTGGAACGACAGTATTTCAAACGCGAATAAGCGGCGTATCTTCATGGCTATTGTCGAGTCCACGTGTGAGGCATAGTCGATGAATGCTGGCTTGTATGCCAAAATTCGGTCTGTAGAAATGGATTTCTGGAGAAGATGTCTACAGTTAACGAGGCTGGACAGAGTCCGAAATGAAGTGGTGAGACAGAGAATAGGTGTAGAGGAGACCGACTCTGAGAGGAACGGGAAACGGCGATTGAGGTGGTATGGGCACTGCAGGAGAATGTTGGAGGAGCATTGACCTAACAGAGTCCTGGACTGGCAGCCACCCGGAAAGCGTAGGCGAGGACGACCGAGGAACATGTGGATGGAAGGAGTCCGAGAAGAGATGGCCGGTCGAGGTCTACAGGGGAGTGACTAGGAGGATAGAGATGTGTGGAGCTCTGCTCTGACCTGAAGAGGTATCCCACGTTGGAACACCGGAATTAAGTAACTAAGAAAAACTGTTTATTTAGTTCGAAAATCCATCTCCGGAAATAATAGTCAGAAGGTATAAGTATAATGATCGTTAGAAAGCTGAGAATTCTAGAAAAAAACAAAACAATATCTAATATAGAAAGTCGTAGAAGGAAATAGAGTGTAAACATTTCATTTTTTTTAAGTTTGAAAAAAGTACTAAAAATCCACCTGATGGAGGCAATGGCATTGTTTAAACAACTATTCTGTGTACTTGTGTGAAAGAAGGAGGGAAATATAGAAATTTTTCATAGATGTATAAAACATATAATACCTTAAATACATTCACTGTAGTTTAATAATGCTAGATCTGATATTATATTTAAACAATAAGGTATCAACGTCCGTTTATCCCGAAAAACCGACATATAATATTTTAGGAAATTAAATTAGTGAATAATTTGATGAATTTTCCCTTTGTGAAATCCCAACATTATTTACTTGCAATTAGTGTGACAATTTTTGACCTATCTAAGAAAGACAATGAAAATCTCATTATTTCATTTTAGTAAATTTTACAATGAAAAATAACAGTTTAATAACTAACACAATCCATAATCATTTATTGATTGAATATACAGATATCTGTGACTTTTCAATAACTTTCAAATCTCTTTAGGCATATATATATATATATATATATATATATCAGAGATTAGAGTTATTTGTTATGTGTACAAAAACATTTGGAGTAACCAGGTTTTTATTGCCCACCGTTGATATAATTAATAGAATCTTGTTATAGTTAATGATTTTTTTAGTTATAAGCTTCAAGCTGTAGATTCGTTAAAAATGCAGTTTATAAATTTTATAATATCCCAATATTGCTAGAAAATAATTTCTATTTAAAGTAGAGTGGTAAGTGAAAGTTGTGTATTGCGTGCAGCAGATTGCATTTTATTGTGTACTTGCATTAAATAAAGTAAAAATAATTGACCCAATCATACTATAGTAAAACCAAAACAATAAATTAAAAATTGTGCAAAAAATGACAATGAAATAAAAAATGAAAAATTGTAATAACATAAATGAACAATTGTAACGAATTTAAATATATATGATATAACATTATAAAGTTTGTGGAGTTCTGATTTTTAATAATTTCTGATATTTTTTATAAGGAAACGTAGCTCTGCAAAAGGAAGATCATAGTTTTCAAAAGGGGGTATCGGATGCCGGAAGGAAATTCCAACCAACCTCTCTTCCAACAAGGGAGGTTACGGACTGGGGTCGCTGATTTTAAAGAAACTTTTTTTTGTGATACCAGGTCGAAAAATATTAGACCCATGTCCGAGAGTTCTTGTCAATGTACCCTAGGAGCCGAGAAAAAAAATATTATAAACTTTTATTTAAAAAAAAAAATATATATATACAAATATGAAATATAGACCTTTGATTTGTACATATTAGAGTAATAATGGACTATGATCTGAGGAAATTTCGTCAAGACGGATAAGGGAATGATTTAGGGGACCTAAGTCACAGTGTATGAAAAATGAACTGGACATTGGATATGAATCTGTTAGGAGGGCAATATGCTGATGCTATGGTGACGGGAAAGGAGAAGGTTTTGATTACGATGGCTGTGGAGTCGGTAATGGGAGCTGATGATGAGGAAGTGATTGGTGCCCAATAACAGCAGTACCAGCATATGCTCTACCGTCAGGATGGTCAGTACGGTATGTTATGTATTGAGGTATTTTTAAAAGCTTTTTTCTGGTCACTCGAGTTTCCGTAATTAGTGCTACGTCGATATTCTTGTCCAGTAATAAAGCTGTTAGTTCCTCAACGTGATTTCTAACACCATTCGCATTCAAAAGGAGAATAGATATGGGTTTTGGGATGTGAGTCATTAAGGATTTTTTAAAGGAGGGATTAGGTGAGATACGAGATTTGTGAGGAGTGATATGAGTGGAGAACTAGGGATTTGAAATCGGTGAGGAAAGATGCTAATAAACTTGTAAGATCTGT